TAACGGGGCCACAGTGTTTTCCTTTTATTATTTATTTCGCGGGTTTTCGGGATGTGTCGACAGCCTCTATTGGTTTTGCTGATGCCCCTACCAAATGGAGAAATTGAACAAACAGAACCCTATTTTCTAACGCTATTGAGCATCATCCTCGATATATTTGAATGTCAAGTTGTTTCCGGCCGATCTTCAAGAAAACCTTCTACATTATCCTGTTCACATGAGGTTCCATTTTCAATATTTCCCTTGATTGGGGGCTGAAAGCTTCAAAGAAGGCCAGCAGTTTCAAATCGTCCTCACCCCGAAACGATCAAATTTTCGAATATTTTGCGCGTGAGAAGCAACCTTTCGATAATGATCTGATACCAACAATACAATACGAAACTGATCTACTTAATAAATCAGGATGCCAAAATCGTGCACGTTTGTAAGACGAAATCTGGTGCTGGGCACCGCTCATCATTCATTCTAGAATGCAAAGTTCATCGAAATCGCCTCACGAGGAACCAGAATTCGTTCTGTAATCAACCTGCCGGCCTTCACCTTACGGGCCAATTAACGAATAAAAAAAAAACACTTCTCGGTATGGAATAAATGGGTTTGGTAACATGCAGGATGTTGCAATTGTGATGGGAAACGACAGTTTTATGAAGTGATTATCGAAGAAGGAGGGACAGTTCACAGTTTTTAACTGACGATTTCTTCTTTATTGTTGACCCAAACCCTTTATAAATGCGTATTTGTGACCTTCTTACGTCGAAAGGAATCGATTGAGCTCAAAAAACGCGCATGTGAAATTTTGATTTTTGACCGAAATTTTTCCAAGGTTGGAGGTCGATTTTTTTGAAAAAAATTAAATGTTCTCAAAATGGCTTTAATTTTACATCATTCTCAGCTCACCGACGCAAAGAATGCATCGAACTCATTGAAAAACATGCTAGAAGTTTCAGATCCGAAATACTAGTCATTTTCGGCATATTTTAAGCATTTTTTGAGCGTTCACGATCTTTAGCCCACGACTTCATCCTCATTTTTGATCAAACACTTTATAAATGCATATTTGTCACCTTCTTGCGTCGGAAGGAATCGATTGAGCTCAAAAAACGCGCATGTGAAATTTTGATTTTTGCCCGAAATTTTTCCAAGGTTGGAGGTCGATTTTTGAAAAAAATTAAATTTTTTCAAAATGACTTAAAATTTACATCATTTTCAGCTCACCGACGCAAAGAATGCATCGAACTCATTGGAAAACATGCTAGAAGTTTCAGATCCGAAATACTAGTAATTTTCGGCATATTTTAAGCATTTTTTGAGCGTTCACGATCTTTAGCCGACGACTTCATCCTCATTTTTGATCAAACACTTTATAAATGCATGTTTGTGACCTTCTTGCGTCGAAATGAATCGATTGAGCTCAAAAAACGCGCATGTGAAATTTTGAATTTTGCCCGAAATTTTTCTAAGGTTGGAGGTCGATTTTTTGAAAAAAATTAAATTTTCTCAAAATGGCTTTAATTTTACATCATTCTCAGCTCACCGACGCAAAGAATGCATCGAACTCAATGAAAAACATGCTAGAAGTTTCAGATCCGAAATACTAGTCATTTTCGGCATATTTTAAGCATTTTTTGAGCGTTCACGATCTTTAGCCGACGACTTCATCCTCATTTTTGATCAAACACTTTATAAATGCACATTTGTGACTTTCTTGCGTCGAAAGGAATCGATTGAGCTCAAAAAACGCGCATGTGAAATTTTGATTTTTGCCCGAAATTTTTCCAAGGTTTTTTTGAAAAAAATTAAATTTTCTCAAAATGGCTTTAATTTTCCATCATTCTCAGCTCACCGACGCAAAGAATGCATCGAACTCATTGAAAAACATGCTAGAAGTTTCAGATCCGAAATACTAGTAATTTTCGGCATATTTTAAGCATTTTTTGAGCGTTCACGATCTTTAGCTGACGACTTCATCCTCATTTTTGATCAAACACTTTATAAATGCATATTTGTCACCTTCTTGCGTCGGAAGGAATCGATTGAGCTCAAAAAACGCGCA